CCCTGTTCCTTAGTTTTGCCTTTACAGTTTAAAGATTGCAGGGGTGGTGTGGTAGTTGCATCACCTGGTGTCAGTTTGAGGATTAAGAGTGAAGGGGTGGAGTCTAGCCTGTCAATCAGGATCTAGTCAATGAGGCCTCTGTGTGGGTGTGGATTTCTCCTGAGGAGTCTGGGAACTCCTGCATTTCCTGCTGGGAGGCAGGAGACACTCTCTCCTTTGGCTCACTTCCTGTGAGACATACCTGTGGAGAAGACAAGACCTCTGGAGCCAGAGACGCTGCATGGAGACCCCTGCCAGCACTGAGAAAATTACAACATTACTGGATCTACAAGACTTCCCACCCACCGGCCTGTGATCTTCCTGCATTTGGCATCACTGCATGTGTTTCGTGAAAATCTGAAGAGGATTTTATAGATTGCTATCAGACATAAGGACTAATATCGGACTTATGAACTTGATCTGGACTGGGCTGGGATGTTTTCTCAATATTCTATTGCTCTTGTATATAAATAAACCTCTTTCTTATACACATGAGTGTCCATGGATTTGTTTCTCTAGTCAACTCGAACTAACACAGGTGGGGGCTAGCCTGTCAATCAGGTTACAGCCTGATGGTGCCTCTTGTGGACATGGCCTTCTCATAGGGAGGATCCTGGGAACTCTCTCTCTCTCTCTGGCTTCACCTTTCGGCTGTTGAGTCACTGGGAGACATGCCAGGGCTATGCTGAAACCTGCACCAAAGCCTTGGCATGCTGACACTGCCATTGGATCCACAAGACTTTGTACCCACCAACAGGTGAAGTTCCTGCGTGTGGCTACATGCGTCTGAAGAGGCACTTAAGGTCTAGTATCGGACTTATGGACTAGCATTGGACTTATGGATTTGCTGGGCTGGGATGTTTGCTTGATATATGATTACTTCTTAATATAAAGCTCTCTTTTACACATACATTTGAGCTGTCACTGGATTTGTTTCTCTAGTCTACGCAGCCTAACCCAAAGGGCTTGCTGGCTAGAGAAACTAGAAAAAGGGTCATCAGCTGGGGGAAGGGCCAGCCCTTGGGCACAGCCAAGGAGCTGTGAGCCGTTGTGGGTGGATGTTGTTCTGACTGATAAAACGCTCCTCTCCTATGTTATATACTGTTACTTCTCTAAAAGAAACAGAGAGACTATTGAGACTGGCCTGTGAGTCCTGTGTGATTGTTGCAACGAAGTCTCCAGCCAGCAGTGAAAGCAGAGAGTTGGAGGGCGGCTGTGTCAGATGAGGACGCTGGCGAGCTGAGAAGTGTCTCACTTCCGCTTCTT